GCTCTGAAAGAAGTGGGGTGCTAAAACAAACTACACTGCTCAAAAACTAAAGGGAACACTTAAACAACGCACGCCAAGTCAAGTAAATCAAACTTGTGAAGCACATTCAACTCTGTACAGAACAAAGATTGGGAGTTAGCGTGCGTTGTTTAAGTGTTCCCTTTATTTTTTTGAGCAGTGTACATCCCAACACATTGAAGTTGTACCATTTCATGTATGATTTTTTTCTCTCTCCAAACGCTTGGTGTATATAAAATGCTTTTTAAAATATGGCAAGTAGAGTTCTTGAAATTACACACACAAAAAATATTTAGTTTGTACCGTTTGTGGTTTGAGTTTAAACAAGATTACACATCACTAGGCCTTAATGACAAATCAAAAGAATAAAAGCTACATCACAGGTCTAAAATAAACATATAAACCTGTTCCATGTAAAGCATTACAAAATAAATGTGCTATAATCAAAACTCAAATGGAAAAGTGGACAAAAGTTTAGGTTTTGTGTGTAAACTCCAGAGCAGAAAGCATCAGTATTGAGCACTAGGGTTGGGCATAATCGTATCGTGTGCAATTAATCATCAGAAAAATATTAATCGATTAATTTTTGGCAGTTGACAATATGATTAATGCTGGCAGACTAACCGCTTGGTGTTCCTCTCTGATTCAAATATGACCAACATTAAAAATTGTGTAATTTATTTACCTATCAACACAATTTAAAGTTTGATGTATAGCCTGAAGTCTAATTTTGACACAATTTGGAACAGATTTTTACGAAGAGCCAATTTTCTCTCTATAAATTAGTCATGTGACTAGGATATAAGGGGGTCCAGGGACTCTGGGGGATTAATCGTCAAATTAATCGTTATCGGCTAAATACCACAATTAATCGTGATTATTTTTTTGCCAATATTGCCCAACCCTATTGAGCAMAAAGCTGTCCATCAATGTCCTGAAATTTCAGGCACATAGTGGGTTAACACTTATTTATCACATTAAAATAATAAACCTCTGCAGTACAACTTGTTACAAAGRGAGGAGGGGTGGAAAAGGAATCGCACTAAAGTGCACAGTCATTGCACACTTGAAAGCAATCAGGAAGAAACAGGAAACTTAATTTYTACTGTTAGGATTAGCATGGAAGCTAACTTCACCAGGCCCCGTTRATCAATGCAGTTTCTCCTTTTCCTGCTCAAAACTTATTCATTTTAACTAAACTCAGTTTAGCAGYTCTTCATAGCGGTCATCAACTAGCCGACCAAGTCCCTTAAAATGCCACTCAGATAGAATAATGCTTAAAAATGTAAAGCCGAAAACCCTCATAACATTTAATGTGAAACATATATTAACAGTTTGTCTGACATGTGATTTTTTTTCCCCCCCAACAAGGAAAAACAACATGGATAAGAATTTACGGACACTCCCAAGAGAAGCCTGAACTAAATGCGGATGGCTCAGCGGATTCATTCATTCAAACACAAGGCCTCAAAAAAAGAAACTAATAGAGACATTTATCTGTTTTTAAGAATAACGATCCCTACAATTCATTTAACATTTGATATATTTGTCAAGTACGGAAAAAAGACAAAATGGAGGCTCAAGGARCCGCCGCAGTTAACCGGTGAGCGCTGAGACAGAGAAAAAACAAATAAATCACCGACACTAGAATTAAATCGTGTATAATAGTTGACGCTGCTCCACAAACATCATCACGTTTATCGTTTTGTTCAGCTTTCATGAATAGAATGATTTAAAATAAAACATAAAATAAAAAAAACTGGGAGTGTATCCGCCATTTTGGAGAAAGGGGCGGTTGTGACGGCGTGATTTCACCGAAGCCGAGCAGGAGAAAAAGACCCAGCGCGTCAGACACTGCTAGCTTGTAGCACCAATTTGTTTCCCACTGAGCAGGAAGCTCAAAGCTAACTGCGAGCTAGCTACGCTGGTATAAATCTAAAAATACTAAACGCTTGAGACTATAGGTGCGCGAATCCAAGAAAGTAAAAACTAAAATTCCGTAAGAAATTGATTTTGAGCTAGATTGCTACTCAGCAACACTGGCTGGTGGTGTGCTGAAAAAGGCTCTCTTGGAAAATTCTAGCATCCCAGCCTGCCATAAGAACACCGGGTACACTTGCATAACGAAAACACTTTGTTTTATCATACGTGCAAAYGCTAACCCGTGTCACTTGAGTCTTTCATTCAATTTAAATCTACATAAAATGTCTGCTTTTCGTTAAGCGGGAAGGGGTTTGCTTCCTTCGGCGGGGGTGCGTTTTTCGGCACAACACGGGTATCACGCTAGTTAGCGTTGCTAACCTATTAGCAGCATTAGCTTTAGTTCATTGGAGTACTTAAGTCGCTAGCTTGGGTTTCTATTGAGTGACTGGCATTTATATTTCCCCCAAAGGTATWTAACAATAGATTAGTTCGCAGCAAAAAGAGACGATGTGAAAGGCTAACCAAAAAATTAAAAAAAAAAATACAGTCCACCCCTGCGTGTCTGTGTGACCACCGGATGCCATGTGTACCGCACTAATTCAACAAGGCCTGGCTATGCAGATAAACGTACAGCCATGCTAAATGTACATTTTCGCCTTTTTTTCAAGTTACAGATACTGAAACAAAGAGCACACTAACCGTCAGGTTGGCAAAGACACCGCCGGTATACGCTGCCCAGACGTATTTGGCGTCCGTGTACCCAACAATGGCTGCGTCCTGGCAGGTGCCATCAGCCATCAGGTTGTCCACGTAGCTTTGCCAGGACATGTTAGTGATAGGGTGGGAAAAGGTACGCTGAGTAAAGTTAAACCACAGTCGTCTCTGAAACGACGAAAACCTGCGAGGAAGCTGCTTTTATCGGTGGCTATAGTGATCTCCAGCAAGCAAAGCCCCACCGGCTCCGTCACGTCCCGGCTTTCTTCTGGTCCAGGCAACGAAGAGAAGCCGCTGCGAACAGACAGAGGCTTGGGTGTAGTCCTGGCTATATCCCTCCGCCTGAGTTGTTATTCGTCCTGCTTCCACAAAATACTACGCGGCGGAGGAATACCACGAAAATAAAACCCACAGACTACTTTTCGCAGTCTTTTTTTTTTTTTTTTTTTGCTTTGTGTATATGAGATTTTAATTAACAAACAGAAAAGCCATTTTAAAACCTCATGTACATTCCAAAGTTTTGAAATAATTTTGGTTAAAATATTTTTATTCAGAATTACACGTTGTTGTAGCTTTTTTTGTGCCCAGGGCAGGAACAAGAAAGATGTGGGGCCTTGAGATGAAGGAACTTTTTGGGACCATGTCGATATTATTTATTTAAGTTACAAATAAAAATATGTGAGTGTGTGCACAGTCATTTCAAGGTTATAATTCACGCAGAGAAGGGCTGCTGCTTTGATATAAAATGTAAAGATTAAAGCACAGAAAATTTATACTTAACACATGAAATTATGAGAAAATTTACTGTCGCAGTTTACTCATAAGTCAGCCGTCCCTGTGCACTGTTTCTCTATTCAAACAAGAACCAAATCATTTTTGAAGGGTCACAGGATTTAGAGAAATTTCAGTGAGAAACAAACTACAAAAACCTACAAACCCAATCCATGATAGCTCAAATTTACACAGAGWGCTCTGTTGACTTTGAAACTGTAAAAGATTTGAAGCAAATACGCAAACAAAAACAAGCAGTTTTCAATTCTTGGTTTTAACAAACTGAAACTCTTCCCAAGTGGGGTGGGTTTTGCACATTTCTGGATTTAAAGTAAAGACATTTGAAAACCATCAATTCATTAAAAAACAATATTTTGTGATCCTCTAAGGCCCTGGGCTACCGCCCTGTTCAGCCCTTTGGAAAGTCCAGCCCTGCTTGCCCTAACCCTCAATCATTAAATTACAATGCAGTCACCACACAGACACAATCAATGAAGCAGTCAGTAGGAAAGCACCCTAATCAAAACACAGTAGGAAAGAAAAAAAACAACAACGCGTAATTTATCACTCGGGTCAATGGTCGTTGCACTTTGAACAAGTTAAACCGACATTTTAAAAAGCTTAAATAACATGAGGGGTGTGACATGTTTCTCTGGGAACACACTTACGCACAATAAGAAAAGAGTTAAATTAAAAACAAATCTGCATGTGTGAGTTTACATAAAAATGACGTGACAAGGTCAAAGTGTCAACAGACACACCTGTCGATGATCCCAGTTATGAAATCAAACCCTTGACTTCTACAGGACAATATCAGACCAGCAGGCCCTCATTTGTCTGTTTGTTTTTGCTCCATGGAAACCATTCATAAGGAAACTACACGACTCCTATGGTCTAGTTGTTCCCTTTCCTTTGGCTCTTCTTGATTTGTATATGCATGAGCTGGAAATGTTCTCACCAAAGAGTTCACACAAACTAAAGAAGTTGTTCTGGTACATTTGTTTTTGGAAATATTCTGCACGTGCCATGTTTTTTTCTCCAAGATCTCTTATTTTGAAATGTATGATGTGCTTTTTTTTTTTGAATGCACAGTCTTGCAAATCTTTTCAAAAAAGAAAACACAAATCATTAGTTAGCGACTTGCAAAAGTCAATAGACAGCAAGTTAGGTGGCTCAAAGATGCAACCACACACACAGTCCTTCCTAATAAAAGACTAATTTTCTTCAACACCACTCCTTTAACCTTTAAACAGGCCTGGTTTGTCTTTCTTTAGAAACATTTCTCCCGCCTCTACCCACAGAAAGTGCAGAGAAAGTTACTCATTGACCCAACCTGTCCGTCAGTCAGACAGACACACCCGGATCCTGAGCTCCTGTTGGCTGGCGGGCGCTCGTTTCTATGGTCACCTGGGTTTTAGCGCCTCTGCTGATTCAAAATGGTTGGACTTGCGGCTCCACCGCTCAGCCTGGGGATGAGTCATGCTCATACAGATGAGCTAACTTGTTTGCGTCAGTGAAAGCTTCGTTTTGAGCAGGGTGATTAGTTTACTCTAAAACAGATGGATAAGGCAGCTTCTCAAGCATTTTTCCTTTTTTTAAAAATACATATTCAGAACATCCATCTTTAAAGGATACTGAACTGTTTAAAAGCAGCAGTATCACTGTTCTGCAGCCATTATGTTGTTTACAATGATAGGCACAGCTAACCAAAAACTTAGCTTCGCTAACCTCTAATCCGCTAAACAAGAATATTAATTCCGCTAACGAAGCATGACTAAATGGGCTAAGAAATAGTGGAAGCTAATGCTTACCGCTAAAACAACTTCAATTTCTTCCAGACTGGCTGTGTCCAAATTCAGMSKCTGAATTTGGACACAGCCAAACACAGGYGAGACTGACACAAACCTGTTGTTGGTTTTCTGTTGGTTTAATTTGAAGGTGGGTGGGATCATATAGAATAGAAACAGCCTTTATTGTCCCGTACGGGGAAATTCGGTGTAGTAGCAACAGCGTGTACATACATCAATCCACAAAACAGTATGTTGTTAGCGTCTCAGAGCTTTGACGTGTGAAGTTCTGGGTGGGGTGTGGTGGGTGTGACGCAGGCCTCAGAATTAGAATGGAGTTGGGTGGAGGAGGTGGGGGTGGTGGAGAGCTGCTAGGTGCAAAGCTCTGATCTGAGAGGTTTGTTGGTGGTGGAGGGGCCGGGCTGGGGGAGGGGTGGGTGGCTGGTCAAACCTGCTGAAGAACTGATTCAGATCGTTCACCCACCCCAGGTCTCCTACAGCCTGCAGGTTTGTTTTATGGCCTGAGATGTTCTTCAGGTTTCTCCACACCCTACTGGTGTTATCTTGCTGCAGCTGGTCCTCCATCTTCTTCCTGTAGATGTTTTTCCCCTCTCTGATATKKCTTCTCAGATCCTTCTGCACAGCTCGCAGCTCCTCSYTGTTTCCTGAYTTAAAGGCTCTCTTTCTCTCCTTTAGCAGAGCCTTTATTTCAGGGTTGATCCAGGGCTTATTATTGKTGAAGCACCGTACTGTCCTGATGGRTACAGTGTTGTCCACGCAGAAGTTTATGTAACCTGTGATGCAGTCTGTGATGTTGTCAGTGTCCTCTCCATGAGGAGAGCTCTTCCCACACCGTGGAGCTGAAACAGCTTCTTCTGTCTCCTCGGTCCATTTCCTCGCTGTACGTGTCACCACTGGTTCCCTGCGTACCAGATGTTTGTAAACAGGCTGGAGATGAACCAGGTTATGGTCTGACCCTCCCAGAGGAGGCAGTGGTGATGAATTATATGCATCTTTGGTGTCAGCGTACAGTAAATTTAGTGTGCTGTATTTCTGGTGTGGCAGGTTACATATTGGGTGAAGTTAGGGAGAGTGGAGGATAGAGACACATGATTAAAGATCAGAAAGAGRGCCTGTGGATGTGTGGCAAATAAGCCAATCAAAACCAGTGATATATTCATCTACTTGCCACTTGTGAACCTTTTAGCGGACTTGAAATTAGCAGAAGCTAATCGGTCTGTTTAGGGTTTCCAAAGTTAGGGGGAAATGCTRATGTGCTAAATAAGAAGCTAGTTCCGCTATTAGCGGATTAGCAGATTAGCAGAACTGTGTCCACCACTAGTTGTTTACTTTTATGTCCCACGACAAAAGAACACAAAAACCAGATGTTTTGTAATAAGACGTGACGGGGATCAGACTAAGCTAATAACACCAAAGTTTGGGTCCATATCTGCAAAGTGGAAGCTTAAACATGAGAAGAACAACCTTCAACACCTCCTCCTTGGTTCTGCAGGAGGTTCTTTGTCTCGCGTAGCCGGAGCCAAAATCAGCTTAGACCATTTTTCACCACAACTGATCAAAATCATTTATTCATGACCCCCGTTTCACTCGTCCTGCATCACTGCAGAAAAAAATAAAGATTTATTTTTTATTCATTTAAATCTTCGCAGTGGTTATATCAGCGGTATCAGTATCCAAATTTGTTTTATTTATGTTAGATGAGATAAAAAAAAACATTGAAATTACAACCTCAATTCCAATAAAGTTGGGATGTTATGCAAAATGTAAATAAAAACTGAAAACAATGATTAGTTATTTTTATAGTACACAAACACAAGATATTTAATGTTCAAATGGATACAGTTTTTTGCAAATCTTCACTCTTTTTAAATTTGATGCCTGCAACAGGTTCCAAAAAAGCTGGGACAAGGGTAATATTCTGTTTTATTTATTTATTTTTTATGTTTTACACAGCATCCCAACTTTATTTTTGCTTTTTAACGTATCTTTTTAGTCTTAGCGTAACTGATGGTAAGAAGTGTATGTGAAGTGATGGATTTGTTTTTAAAGCTGATGTGTGTCTTTTTATTAAACAAAATAACATTAATCCTAATTTAAGTGTAATTTTTGGTTATTTTTTTTTAAATTAGGTGGCACGTAGCTGCGGTAACCTTTGACCTCTGAGACGAATCAGCTGTTGAGGGTCCTCCTTGCGTTGGACACACAGTGAGGACGTCTTTCTGCGTTTCACCCATCTGAGGAAAACAATGACGTCACACCCCACACACACATGCAAACTGAGCCTGAACAGCACACACCCAAGCTTTATGAACCAAATGGTAAAATGTGGGTATGCAAACGTGCTCTGGACTCACGGTTCCACAGGAGAGGTGAGTTTACATCAACCCCCRGAGGGCAGGTTTGGATTTGAATAGCGACGGTGCGGTCAGAGGGCTTCACATGCAACACATAGCAGGAGGAAGAACTGAAGCCACGGATTGGTTACAGTTATCACTGTTTTTATTTGATTCATTTCTAATTTAGCAAATAAAAAGAACTTGTCATAAAATTAATATAAATATATTTTCAATTTAATCCTAAAACAGTTTTACAACTTTGGCATAAGAGGCTATATTTAAGTGATTTGCATTCCTTCAAGGAATTCTAGACTTCTTATTTTATCTTCATCCTTTGTTCTGTAAAATAATTAGTTTCTCTTAAACACTTGATATAAAAACATAATTGCAGCCATAATTTAGTTGTTGATTCAAACTCTTGTGT